GGCCCTGCTCACTGAGCTTACATGCTAGAGGGAGTGTGGTAAAGTGACACAAAAGATAAGGAGCGGGGTAAAGTGACACAAAAGGTATTAGACTGACAGGTTAATTGATAAGCTTTTATGAAGAAGTGGCTTTTTAATGATTTTTTGAAGGCGTGGAGACTCGGTGAGTATTTAACGGAGGAGGGAAGTGAGTGGAGCCCTCGAAAAGTCTTAAAGGCAAGCATCAGAGGTGGGAGTATGGAGAGCGTAAAGGCCTAGACGGGACATACTTGTGTATTAGGGAGGATAGATAGGTGGGAGCAGCATTATGTAGAGATTTGAAAGCAAGAACCAAAATTTTTAATTCAGCCCTATATCTTACAGGAAGCCAATGTAGGGACTGACAGAAGGGTGAGGCGTGGGAGGTGTGGGCGGACAGGAAGATGAGCCTCGCCGCCGCATTCATTATTGACTGTAACGGCACAAGTTGGGAGCACGTAAGACCACTGAGAAGTGGATTACAGTAGTCAAGGCGAGAAAGGATAGTGGAATGGACCAGCAACTTAGTCGCAACTGGTGTTAAGTAGGGTCAGATGCGCGCAATGTTTTTGAGATGGAAGCGGCAGGATTTGGCGATAGACTGAACATTAGTGTCACGACTACTAGTGTGGTCCACATGCAGAAACTATGTAAACATATACATAGAAAATGAAAAGGAAATAAAAAGGATAGAACGTAAATCAGTCCTTAGAATGGCCGGACTAATACGTTAGAGACAGAGAATGGTCAAAGGGAAAGCAGAGGTCAAGGAAGCCAGAAATACACAAATATCGTTTAAACAAGCCAAATCAGGGGAACCAGAAATTGGAATAACAAGGAATAGCCAAGGTCAAAATACCAGAATATCAGAATCACAAGGATAAACGCATTCTTGGGAACCAGGAACAGGAAACCATGACAGGGCAAGGTACTGGGGCAAATCAGGGATTTAAATATCCCTAATAGTAAATGGATGAGACAGCGCTGGTCAACTTATAGGCAGCAACCTTTAAAGGGGAATCCCTCAAAAACCCTTTAAAACAAGATAAATAAAAGTAACAGATAGAAAAGGCTGTGCCACATAAAATATTAAAAGAAAACAAAGTCCAAGTAATAAAAAGTCCAATTTGTATGTCCAAACCTAGTGTCATACTTTAGATATATAGACGACCTGTTTTTTTATTTGGGAGGGAACAGAAGATAATCTTATTGCTTTTATTAACAATTTAAATACTAATAATAGGGGTATCACTCTCACACATAAATACAGCAAGGAATCCATTAATTTTTTAGATCTTAATATTTTTATTAATGAAGGCCAACTCCAAACAAAAACATTTTTTAAAAAGGTGTGTGTTAACACGGCTATAGATAAATCTAGCTGCCACTATAAGCCCTGGCTTGAGAGTGCCCCAAAGAGCCAATTCCTGCGCCTTCGCAGGAACTGCTCAGAAATTACAGATTTTAACGAACAACCCGAATTGTTAAAAAATAAATTTATAGAAAAAAAATTATCTAGAAGCAGACCTAAATAATACAATTAATATAGTGAAACAAAAAGAACGTAAAGACCTCTTAATTTACAAAAATAAAAATAATGAATTAATATCTCTCCCTGTGATTTTTAACTTTAGCAATAAAAGCAGTGATGTTAAAAAAAATAATAAAAAAGCACTGGCATATACTCAAACATGATGGATACTTAATCCAATTATACCTACACACACAAATATTGTTTTTAGAGGGGCACCTAATTTTAAATCTATTCTAACCACCAACTTTACTAAGGAATCCTCTACCAAAAATCAGACGAAAGGTTTCTATAAATGTAGACAGTGTATAGTATGTAGAACTACAGACTCTTCAGTTTCATCTAAAGTCACTCAATTTATGTCAAATATAACCAAAAAAGTGTATAATATTTATGATTTTATCTGTTGCAATACGAAGAATGTTATTTATCTGCTTGAGTGCCCATGTGGCCTCCAATATGTGGGGATGACCACAAGGTGCTTAAAGATAAGACTGAGCGAACATTGGATACTTAAATCACACAGTATCCAAACACTTTATTATGCACAACAAAGATCCATATCTACTTACATGTATTGGTATAAAAAAATGTTCTACCTCATGGTGTGGAGGAGATATAAAAAAAGTTACTTGGAAAAAAAGAAATGGAATGGGTGTATAATCTCAAGACCCTTATACCCCATGGTCTTAATGCAGATTTTGATCTGCATAATTTTCTATAATAATAAGTGACTGTGCCTGTACCTTTAACCTGTTCTTATCTTGTATTATTTAAGGATTTTACTGTTTCTTTTAATATAGTTGTTTTTAAACATTGTCTTTTTAAATACTGCTTTTTATAACAATGTAGCTATTTAATTATGCTAATTTTTAATTTTCATCATTTTATTTTATATTTTTATGGTGAAATATGCCAATACTCTTGCACATTTTCATGCCTGCCATTCCCAATATGGCTTTTAGGCATCTATCTTCCCTTCCCAAGATGGCCGTGTTCTACTTCTAGTAAAACATTACACTCCCCTCCTGTTCCTCGGCCGCCATTCGCTGCCATTATAAACTACATTTCCCATGCGGCTGTGCGGCTTACTTCCGGTATGCGGAAGTGCCCAAAATCACGTGGGAAATTTCTAACGCTTAATTCTATATCTTCCCACCCTTGTTTTAATTATTAATCCATTCATAACATGTCAGGTTATCAATAATTATCTTCTTATTTCGTTATTTATGTGTTTTATATTCTCTTATCCAATTATAATTCTGATCGGCTGGACCATTTTTGGCGCCAAATTTCCAATTACTTGTGTTCCTATATAACACTAATATGCCAGGTATTGTTTGTTATTCCATTTGAAAAAGTCTTTTGACGAAACGCGTTATGGAAATTTTATATTGTGTATTTTTGTATTAAAAGTATATTTGGTCATCTGTTTGTGCCAATTATCTTTTTTACACATACCTTTTTTTTAAAATTATTTTTACCCTGGCTTTTTATCTTATTTTTTTTTTATCCATTCTGGTTTTATAAATATTTGGAAGCTTCCTGCATCCCAAGAAATCCTAGGTGGGGATTAATCCACTTAAGCTGATACCACAGAGCAGTCCGCCTGCTCTTTACTTGTAAGTACGTTTTTATTTAATTTATACCAACACTGCTATACAGTGAGCACTATTGGCTGTTTCTTCTTTCCTGAGAATCGGACACCATTGACGGAGAGGTACTCACCATATATCCCAAAAGCAGGGATTATACAGCTGTACGCGCTTTACCCTAGAGCTTGTAAATGTGAGTTCTCTACTACTGTTTTTTTATTACGTCCATATTTGAGCTATACATATTGCACTATTGGTTGTCTCTCTCTTTTATCTTGTATATAAGTGGAACCACTACTATATCTGAAGACCCTACCACAGTACCAGCCTCCTAAAAAGACTATTCGTAAGGACATACAAAGTGGACTTTTTATTACTTGGACTTTGTTTTCTTTTAATATTTTATGTAGCGCAGCCTTTTCTATCTGTTACTTTTATTTAAATATCCCTTTCTGGGCCATGATTGGTCAGAGAGTGACCTCTGACCCTACACTGTGCGCTGGCGTCGTGACGTCACACGCACGTCCGTATAACTTTAAGGGGCGGAGCCTTTGATGGACGCGACCGCATGGTTGGCGCCATCTTTGGTTTGGGCACACTGCCCAGAAAACGCGGAGGAGCGTAAGCTCACATTATCAGCGCGCGAAACCTATTGGCGAAACGCATAGACGCAGTGACGTCTACGTAATTACGCTACTTCAAGTGGGCGGAGCTACTGTTGAACGCGCGAATTTCGGAATAACTGGGACGCCTTGAGAACTTTATTCATAACAGCCTGGTGACTGCAGCGTTAAATACCGATCCGTAGAGGATTTCCTAGCATGTGAAACTGGCTATTTGGATTGTTGAGCGTCCTTCTGAGACCTATAAGCGTGTGTGAGTAGCAGTAGGATACTGCAATATACTCACTACCGTTTTCTTGTAAGAGGCTAATTTTATTAATTTGTTATTATTGTGATTTTTAATGTATCTCATTTTTATTCGTTCTATCATTACTGCTAATTGTTTCAAAGTGCAGATAGCATTTTTTGTCTAGTTATAATAAATATATATATTTTCTATATACATCTGTTTTCATTGTTGACTGTACTTCACTATTTTATGTTCTTTATATCTATTCACATGTAACTCTGAGCTGGAGTGATCTCGTTATTGTGTGGGGGTCCCTGAAGCTGTAAGCACTCCACCTATGTAAGTATTTTACATGTATATATGAAATGTAAATAACACAAATGAATATACATAAAAAGAAATAATATAAAAATAATAATGAAAGAGGAACTGAACCATAATGACTAAAATAAAGATAAATAAAAATAAATACATCAATCATCAATTAAAGGGACACTCAAGGCACCCAGACCACTTCTGCCCATTAGACTGGTCTGGGTGCCAACTCCCATCACCCTTAAAGGACCACTATAGTGCCAGGAAAACATACTCATTTTACTGGCACTATAGTGCCCTGAGAGTATAATACAATTCAGAGTAACAAGATACATAATGGATAAGGAATAATAAACCTTATAACAGCGGACAGTCTACACAGTGGGCATCACCAATCAAGTATATAAAGACATTCTTTAACAAAATGAAATAAAGAACAAAAAATAAAAAGTAAAAATAAAAGTAGATATACAAGGCTAAATCCAATATTGTCACAATCTCAGCTATAATCCTAGATCATTAGCAATAATCTCCTATAGTTTCTATTGTAATGGTAAATTAAGTAATTTCTTTATATTTATGAAGTTCTGAATTGCATAAATATAAAATAATACCACAAATAAAATAATAAAAGGTATACTGGTCAATCACATAAATATTAGTGAATATCTTGAATGAACAGACAAGAGGCAAAGTTTTGATGAAAGTATAAACAAAACTTTACTGGGAATACAATTATCAAGCACACAAAAAAACAAATACTTTAAAAACACACACTGCTATAAACAATACATTCAGGTAAGAAATCTACTTAGCTCTATTCATGGGGATTCAGCAGCTTACACAGGATAATTGAATCAGCATAACACACAGAACAATGAGGTGAGTTCCTTGCCACATGTTAAATGGATTTACATGGGCACCTCTAAAGACACCTGGCTTCTTCCGACCCAGTGATGAAACTGAAACTCTAGTTTCTGGAAACCCCTTGAATAACCTCCCATCTGGTATCCACCCACAGAGGTAACATAACCAATACCTAATGGTCATCTCTAGGAGGCGGATACTACATGTGGTCCTTTGTGAAAGGAAGTGACTTAAGAATTCTCAATACCTTCCTAAAGCACATGTCTCATTGACTATGCGGCAGCCATCTTTATTCACTCGACGTCACAGTGCTCACTAGGCCACCTATAGGTCACTTCCTCCCTAAAGCACATGTCTCATTAAATATGCAGCAGCCATCTTCTTGCTCTTAATGTCACATAGCTCACTACACCCCCTATAGGTATCATAAGTTATTGCACATGAATGGGAACACAATAATAGAACATTTATCATTGCCCATAACCAATACAATCCACCTGTTGATCCCATTACATGAGTAATAACTATAACTCATATATTTCTCGGATAGGTCTTTCTTCATAGCTTGCTTTCCCACACATATAATACAATTTACAAAAAAATACAATATTATGCATAAAACAACACCCACTACTACCCATTGCATTACTTTAAACCCTAAATTACCCAACCACCCAAAAGGTCCACTATCCGGTGGATTCTGGAGCTTCTTCCTGGTATCATTTATCTTTGAAATATCATGTGTTATTGCGCCAGAGTTATTGACAATATATGAGCAGCACTCTGTCCCTACCAACGCACAAACGCCTCCTTTGGCGGCCAAGACATAATCTAATGCCAGTCTATTTTGCAACACCACTGCTCTCATTTGTACCTGCTCTTGGGATAGTTTGTTAATAGCATCCACGGTTGCATCTAAAGCTTCATCCACTAGCTTTTTTAAAGCTTCTATTCGAGTTAATGACCAATATACTCCCCAGCCGGGAAATACAATTCCAGAATTAGCTTCATGTTCTCCGATAAATGAACTCCACCGTTTATTTCTAATCATGCCTTCTGGAAAGCTATTTCTATGCCTTATGGCGGGGATGATTGATCCAATGTAACATTCTCCTTCCCATTGAGTAGGTAACCATCTATAGGCCCAATTACCACACAGAAAATACACACCTCTGGGAAGGACACTGTAACTATTATCTGGGGCCCCACTAAAACAAGTGTCCAGGAGTATAGAAATAAAGGGAAAGCTCAGTCTTTTTATTGCACCATGAGAGGTCATACTTATTACTCTCACCATTGGGCTGGAGTCTTTGACAGTCATTGCCCAATGTTGTTCATTACCATAGCCCTTTACCCAGGCAGATGTACAGTTAGAATATCCCATTTTAGTGGCATTGGCTCCATTGTTATGTGAACTGATACAAATAGCACCTTCCTGGGGGCGGTTTATAATATGCAATCTGTCCAATGATTGTGGCTTTCCTTCTTCTCGGTACCAGCCGAATCCTGTATTATTATATTGTTTTAACTCCTCCAATGTCCATGGAACACCAACATATGGGTAACTGCTCTCCTCGCTGAATGATATGGTCCCACAAATCCAGCAATCCGTGCTGTTTGACACTCTCGAATAACTTGCTAATAGATTCAGGTATGAGTTGGAGGACCAGGGATCCGACTTGTCTATATAGCCACCAATCTGTTGGAAGGAAAGAAAACAGGGTGAGTACCTCCACTTAGTAATACAACTTTAGTGTCACCAGGTCCATTGGACAGTATTTCTCCCTTCTGTTTGACCTGCTCACCTGCTCGTGGTAGCACCCATACTTTGGAACCTGTCTGTAAGGTATTGCTTTCCTCCCATGTCACTAATACTTTCCGTGGGATCCAAATGGATACCACGCCTAATACAGTGTGTGAGAAAATCTGGCCTGACAATGGGATTTCCCACAAATCTGATAACACATTTACCATCCCTGTGGTCAACCATTTATCATCTCTTAGCTCCTCTGTTAGGGCAAAGGTCACTTCAGTCCCTTCTGGTAATATCCCACCCATGGGAAGGATGTATGTCATCCATTCATCACCCTGTACAATCTCAACTAGGTTCTGGCTGACCACTTTAAATTTGTTCTTCCCCACCTGTTGGGGGAAAGATCCCTTGAACCTTAATCGAACTGACACAGTTGGTGTCCCTACCTGTCCAGTCAATCTTTCATAAGGTGAAAACTGTCCTATTGGTCTACTATTTAGTATCATAACTGCCTGCGTGATCACCCGGTCCCACCCCCTCAATGTCCTACTTGGGGATAGCTTCCGAATCTGTTCTTTTAAAAGCCCATTGCACCTTTCAATCAACCCCGAAGCTTGAGGATGATAGGGGATGTGGAAGATCCACTTAATCCCTGAGTCATTTGCCCACTGCTGTACGAGCTGTCCAGTGAAGTGGGTTCCATTGTCTGTCTGAATCTCAGATGGCAGTCCATAAGCAATCACAAGAGTCTGTAGCATCTGAAGTGTTGAGGCCTGGTTCGCATGTTTGCAGGGTAATACTTTCAGAATTCCGGAAAAGGTGTCTACAGCAGTACAACAATACATCAGCCCCCCTCTTCCTTTAGGCATGGGACCAATGTAGTCCATCTGCCAGATCTGTCCTGCTATTGTTCCTTTATTTAAATGTCCACGGGCTTGCTTCGTGAGGGGCCATTTCTTAACCTCATTGCAGGTCTCGCATACTTCTTGAGCTTGGACAATCATCTGGAGAGTTATTGGTAGTCCTCGGGCTCGCGCCCACTCTAACATAGCTGCTTTTCCTCTATGACCCGCGGTCTCATGGGCCCAGTCTGCCATCCTAAGTAATACTGGATCAACAGGTTCTGGTGTTATTTTTGCTTCTCGTATTCGGGTCAATTCATCGGCTATCTTATTCGGGTTCTCTTCTCCAGTACTGTCTTTCACATGGGCATTAACATGTCCGAGGTGTATTAATCTTGATTGGGCTGTTTTCCATATATTTTCCCATAAATCTTCTCCTCCCCATACTGTCTTGCCATGTATTTGCCACCTGTTGTTTCTCCATGTAGGCATCCATGTAACACAAGCCTTGTACACAGCCCAGCTATCTGTATAGATGTAGAGCTCTGGATCTGTGGTTTCTTCCATCAGTATGACTATGGCAGTCAATTCAGCATATTGACTAGATCCTCCTATTCCCTTCTCTTGAATCACAATTTGTTGCTGAGGGTTGTAAGCTACTGCAGTCCAATGTCGTCCTTTGTGGGTCATGGTTGCAGACCCATCTGTGAACCATGCATTTTTCTTTTGTTCTTCACCCAGTTCTCTGAATGAAGGAGCTGTCTTGATGGGTGAGGGCTGTAAAATTGGGACTTCTTGTACATTGGCATGTGAAAGTGTATCATATGTCACTAACCCAGTAAGGAGTTTGGTCAGTTCCTTCACTTCACCTGCTTGGATCCCTCCTCTTTCCTGCAGGTACCACTTCCATTTTAATAATGTCTGACTTTGTGCCACTGTTGTCTTTGCAGATAATCCTTCATCTCGTACCCATCCTGCTATTGGTAAATCTGTTTTCACTGATACTATGCTTTTCTCAGTCATTGTCTCCACATGCTGCAGTGCGAGGTATGCTGCCAGAAGATTCTTCTCTAAAGGTGTGTACCTTTGCTGAGCCCCAGTCAATTGCTTGGACCAAAACCCAATTGGTACTGCCCGCTTGCCTTTGTCTTCGCTCGGTTGCCATAGTCCCCATGATGCTACGTTGTCGTTCACCATCACATCCAATATGAACGGAGCTCCAATTTGAATCGGGCCCAAGCCCTGATGCTGTAATACTGCTTCCTTTGCTGCTTGGAATGCTGTAGCTTGATCAATTCCCCATACAAATGCTGATTTCTTTCTTGTAACATTGTATATGGGGCATAGCAGCAATCCTAGATGCGGTATAAATGCTCTCCAGTAACCAACTGCACCTAAAAACTTTTGGGCTTCTGTTAACGTCTTAGGTTCTGGAGAATTCTGGATTGTATCCAGCACAGGCTGAGGTATCTTCCGAACAGGCCCAGACCACATCATTCCTAGGAATTTAACTTCTTGGGTTGGACCTTGAATTTTGTCTTTATTTATTGCCCATCCCCGTCCAGTCATGTAATTCACTAGAACAGGTAATGCTTCTTTCACTTCCTCTTTAGATCCCGAGATCATGATGTCATCAATGTAGTGAAACACTGGAAGATGTAGAGTGAGGTGGCTTAAATCCCGTGCAACTAGTCCATGGCAAATCGTAGGTGAGTGTATATATCCCTGGGGCAAAACTTGGAAGGTATATTGGCGTCCTTCCCAAGTGAAAGCAAATTGATCTTGCGACTCAGGTGCAATAGGAATTGAAAAGAACGCATTAGCTAAATCTATTACCGCATGCCACTCCCCGGCCTGTTTGGCAATGTTTCCCACAATGGTGATAATATCAGGGACAGCAGCACTCAATGGTGGTGCTACCTTGTTGAGTCCCCGGTAATCCACCATCATTCGCCATGAGCCATCCATCTTCTTTACAGGGAATACTGGAGCATTGAACGGACTGACAGCTGGACGAATTACACCTGACTGTAAAAGCTTGTCGATAGTTTCACTAATTTCTCGACATCCTCCGGGCAAACGGTATTGCTTCAGTCTTACCGGGTTGCACGGAGGAGGAACAATGACAGGTGTCCAATTTGCATTCCCTCGCACAATGTCTTTTACTGGTCTGAGATAGTATGGCTTATGAGGGAATCCAAACGTGAACACCCCCCACTGTGTCTCAATACTCTGCCCTAGTAACACATCTATTCCCAAGATATTGTCTGGCAATTCTGAAATCAAAACTTTAGCACTGAATCTTGGTCCTTTGTTAATTGACATAGCCACAACAGTTTGTACTGCTTTGGTAATTCTACCTCCTAAACCTTCTATTCTCACACAGGGTCCTGATAGCCTTGATGGATTACCATGCAGTACTGTGACTTCTGCTCCTGTGTCAACTAAAGCTAAAATCTTTGTTGGTCCTGGTCTTGTCCCCCACCACACAGTCAAAGGTACATAAGGGCGTCGGTCCCCGGCGGTTAAAGGGGACACATGTACCGCCGGAGGCCCACCATTCTGTCATTGTACAACAGCACTGTCCCAATCCATCAAATCATGTGTCATCAGATCTTTTACAGGATACAAGGATCTGACTTTACCATCACTCTCTGGCAGTGCTTGTTTCTCACTAGATGTAGTATGAGAGTAAGTCCTAGCACAATATTCTGTTGGAAACAGTGAGGACATATGTGGGTATGAATGTGGGGGGGTGTTATCTTGGGCTTGAAGTGAGGGTGGGGGCACAGCATAAGGAGCACAATGTTGGAATAGAGGTATGGACAGAGGAGCTGTGTCTGTAGGCATGAGAGGAGTGTTTTTTAAATAACTAGGGGGAGGAGACTTTGGGACAAATGGGGCAGAGGGCATGGTATTGTCTGCCTGATCCTTGCATGCCAAATGTACCTGTACCTTTTTATTAGACCTTTTTTTTTAGATTTAACCATTTTTCAAACATGGCAGGTGTTGAAATTCCATTAATTTGTTCTCTAGGTACACCAGCCTCAATCAAATCATTCCACATTTGAAAACGATTAACTCTCAGCCTTGTTTTATTCCTAAACTTTCCCTGCTTTTCTCCCTCTATTGGTTCCACCATCTCCTCCCTCGTCCTGTTAGCGGCAAACACACCTTTCCTAGGGTTAGATTCTGACTCTAATTCTCCAATTTCAGCTAAATAAGTGGTGAGCTGATGTACCTTTACATTATTCCCCAAACTGCCCAGCAAAGACAATAAAGATGCCTTCATTTCCTGGGGTGCACTTTTTAAAAACCGAGACCGCATGCTGGCTGTGAATTCCTCCATGTCTGGACCTTCCCAGTTATCCTTGTTTAATCCCACCACACAACCCATAACTCTAATGCGGGTAATAGCATCCCTCGGTTTTGACCAGGGTGAAATGGGCTCAATGTCATTGCTAGATGGGAAGGCCACAATTATGGCATGCCGCACCATATCAAATAATGAAAAATTACCTCCAATCTCCCTCACCCTCCGTAATACCTGCATGAGCTGTGGATGCATAATGCTTCCCTTGCATTCAACTGCACACTGTCAGCTCCTCCATCCCACATGCGCAATAACCATTCTCCCACATTTTCACCAACTTCATGCTTATACACCTTTGCCAGCTCCATGAGCTCTGTTTGTGTGTAACTTTTTACCACTTCATTCATCTCTTCATGTACACCATTTCTCAAACCACGCGCTCTGTCTTGTAGTGTCCTCTTCCGCTGCTGTGTAATGATAGGACGGGCTTGTCGCCTGTCCACATCATTATCATCATCAGAAAAGGATACATACTCATCATCAGATGACTGTAGCGGTGCTTCAGGATCCCATATGGGGTTTGCAACCATTGCTCGCACTTTACTTACAGGCACTAGCTTTTTTCCTTTCTGTGACCTCCTGCGGTTAATCTTGCTTACCACTAAAGTAGTAAATTTTTCTTCTAGGGCAGCCACCTGGCATGCATTACTACGCATACATTCTTTAGTCATAACTAATAAATCTTTTACATCCTGCAACTCTTTCTCGAGCGCTTTATTTCTCTGCACCTCGCGGCTAAGGGCCTGCACAACTATCCACCCTGTGGTGGCAGCGGCTTTCCGCACTTTTTTGGAGTATACTCCCAGGTCTTACCGTAATGCTTGAGCACCAAGTTCAGTACCAGCATCAGGATAGACAGGAGCTGCATACTTGATCAGCTCCTCAGCAATGGGTTTCCAGTTTTCTAAACTGGCCCACAATGAAATTGTCCCATACTTAGACGCCTCCTTCCCTCCTGCTCTATTACTTTTTTTAAACAGAGTAAGCATCTTTACTCTCAGGGGGAACACAAAAATGCAAATATACCAATCAAAGACAATGCTTGTTAACTATATCTCTTTTCACTGTGCAACGTGACTGTGCTATAGGCTTATTCAATCTATATACACATTCAAATATTCTATATTTAGTGATTGTGCAGTATCTTGTTCACAGCGCCAGTTGTAATGGTAAATTAAGTAATTTCTTTATATTTATGAAGTTCTGAATTGCATAAATATAAAATAATACCACAAATAAAATAATAAAAGGTATACTGGTCAATCACATAAATATTAGTGAATATCTTGAATGAACAGACAAGAGGCAAAGTTTTGATGAAAGTATAAACAAAACTTTACTGGGAATACAATTATCAAGCACACAAAAAAACAAATACTTTAAAAACACACACTGCTATAAACAATACATTCAGGTAAGAAATCTACTTAGCTCTATTCATGGAGATTCAGCAGCTTACACAGGATAATTGAATCAGCATAACACACAGAACAATGAGGTGAGTTCCTTGCCACATGTTAAATGGATTTACATGGGCACCTCTAAAGACACCTGGCTTCTTCCGACCCAGTCATGAAACTGAAACTCTAGTTTCTGGAAACCCCTTGAATAACCTCCCATCTGGTATCCACCCACAGAGGTAACATAACCAATACCTAATGGTCATCTCTAGGAGGCGGATACTACATGTGGTCCTTTGTGAAAGGAAGTGACTTAAGAATTCTCAATACCTTCCTAAAGCACATGTCTCATTGACTATGCGGCAGCCATCTTTATTCACTCGACGTCACAGTGCTCACTAGGCCACCTATAGGTCACTTCCTCCCTAAAGCACATGTCTCATTAAATATGCAGCAGCCATCTTCTTGCTCTTAATGTCACATAGCTCACTACACCCCCTATAGGTATCATAAGTTATTGCACATGGGGACACAATAATAGAACATTTATCATTGCCCATAACCAATACATCTGTGGCGAAACCAACCTCGCCACTGTGAACTGGAGAAGCCTGGTTGCTCGCCTGCTCCCTTTGGACTATGGCCCTGCAGGTTAAACCGTTTATTTCCCCTGCAGAAAGGCTTATTTGTGTGATCTGAGTGCCATTCATCTAATAATGTGCACTCAGATCCCAGCTATCTGGGGATATGTGAAATGTCTGTGTGTTATGTGTAAATGTGACTTTATGTATTTTAAAGTGTTTTGTGTCTTTTTGCAACCATGTGCTTAATGGAGTCTTGTGTCTATCCTGGGAGATAATTGAATTATTCTCCAGGATAGAAGACTCTGAAACTGGTTTGGGCCAGAAAGCCATGCTTCATTTAGTCACAAAGGACTTTCCCTTAACTTTTGAACCCCTGGTCTGATTCGTGCCATTTTTTAATATGTTGTTCCCCTGAATGGATTGATTATGAAATGTATGTTTTATGTTTGTGACATGTATATTTTAGAAGTTATAAATATTGTGTAAAAACTGTATTCCTCTGCCGGTGATAATGAGATTACCCATTGTGTTCAGTAATCATATCACCTGCAGAGGGGAGGATTTTGTGTGGGAGTGTCTGGGTGTATTGTACGGATTGATTGGTTGTTTTGTAACGACCTGTGGGCTGTACTATGTTTGTGGATTGGGAATAAAAGAGACTGTATGTGACAGTACAGGGAGTTCCTGTTTTAACCCTCAAAGTGAAGTGTCGCCTCATTATTGGGGGAAGGATTTATTGTATGCTGTTCCAGTTTGACTGCTAGGAGAGTAAACCTATTCATATGGTTCCTATTCAACTGTCTACAGCATTCATATGCTTGGGAGAATTTATTTGTTTCTCCGGTTCGGTGATTGTGGTGTCTGCCAGAGTGCTTGGAGTCCTCAGGAAGCGCTAGGAGCATCCTTTAACGGAGGTACCCAGTCGGGGTGCCAGGCGATCCGTTACAACATCTATATAGGACAAAATAGAATATAAACTCATAAAAGAGTACATAAACGGTGCAGTTATCAGAGAGCCATATAAACAAATACAGCTAAATGTATCTATGTGTACATAACATCATAGAGTGCTAACATATCACAATGACAATGTGGTTATTTCATATAGAAATATATCATAATTAAAGTGCATATATGTAGCAAAGAGTTAAAAACATTAAATGTGAATTATTTAAATGTGACCAATTAATTGTGAATAACAAGTGGGAAAACCTATAATAATATAGGAATCATAGTAAAGTGCATAACATGCTTATTTATAATTTTAAGACCATATCATAAGCATAGATAGGTCCATATTTTTATGTCAGAGACCAATAGAAATATATAAAGCTTTATAAAGAGCTAACAAATTGATACAATATTCCCTATGATATGGAGATCATGATAACCTAGAAAGCCCAAAATTGATGTGCATGTAATAGGATAGTCACCAGCACAGATTGAAGATAATCTGTAAAATAAAAATAAAAAAAAATCTAAATTAACAGATTGAGGTCATATTCCTGATTGAGTAATTTTGGATCCAAGGTGTAGAGTTCCTTAATCCAATCAGCTGTCTGTCTCCACATCTAAATATTTCTTCAACATGCTCAATGATGCGCCTCTGAGAAATGTGAAGGGATTGGTAGTTTTTGTTCTAATCATAGATTTAAATTTTGAAAACCTTTCTTTAATTTTCTACCAATCCCTTCACATTTCTCAGAGGCACATTACGCTATAGCTCAACTAAAATTCCAGATCTTTGAGCATGTTGAAGAAAAATTCAGACCTGGAGACAGAGAAAAGGTTATTTAGAGAAGCTCATTGCCTACATCCATGGTTATACATTAGCTCGCTAGCTCTCAGACATTAGTCTGAGCGCATGCGCGTGGAGGTTTCCGCAGCCGTTTAGTTGTACGCATGGGCATCCGGTTCGCGGAAAGCGAAATGTCCTTGTTTCATGGGGACTGAGACGTCATTGCGCAGATGTCTTCTCATACTTTGAACGTCATGACGCTGACGTTACGTACTTAGCGGAAATGAATCCTTTGGCGGTAACTTTACAGATCTCTCCATGTTTCAATTTAATTTAATCACTTAATTTATTTACTTATCTAATCAGTAATTTTGCGACCTGTGAGACAGCTGACAGTCTATGTTTGGGTAAGCTACATTGGATTATATGAATTTGACTCTCTTGATTGTCTAATTATGTTAATCACTTGTATTCCTATAAAATGGTATTTGTATGTGCATTTGATAGCTTGACAAAGACAGTTCAGGTCGAAACGTTGTGAGTGGCGGTGGGTTCAATAGATTTTTTGTACTCTGGAGTGCCTGGACCTTTTTCGATTTTTTGCCTTGTGTGTAAGTCAGTGATTATGTGTTTGGGTCTTTGTATGCATGTGTTTGGGTCTGTGACTGTGTGTGTATGCAACCGTGTGTATAGGTCTGTGATTGTATGCGTGTGTGGAACTGATTATGGGTGTATGCATGTGACTGTCTGTAAAGGTCTGTGATTTGGCTCCGTCCTTAAGGGGTTAATTTCACCTGAATCGGTATACGAACCAAACCAAACAGACTTTACCCTAGCTGGCTCGTATACCGAACGTTCTACCAAACGCTTGGACCACCCAAAGCAGTCGTGTGCCGCCAATTGACCTTATTGACGCTGCTCTAAACATTCTAAATGGTTCACTGGGTGGCCGTCAATTTGTATGGACAAACACTTGCATAAAGGGCCAGTGTAGCTACCGTTAAACCATTCCTGCTTAACCCTCAACACGTAGCCTCGTCTCATGATTGTAGGTAACCGATATACAGCTATACCATCTTTGGTCGGCAGAGATATCAACTGGAGAATACTACAGGACTGCGCCTACTAAGGGAAAAGGAAGTCTCTGGCGAGATATACCGCTTCACTCTTGGGGTGTCCGTCACATGATTGTATGTGTGTGTAGGTCTGTGATTATATATGTTTGTGGCTCTGTGATGATAAGTGTGGTTATGTGTGGATATGTATATACATGTGTATTTGTTTAGTAGATAGCTCATCCCACATAAGGATAATAAATAAGAGAGTTATCTACTAAATAGATTTAAGAAAAGGGCTTCTGAAGTTTTATTACATAAATCCATTATATTATAGATTTCATGTGTGGCCCAAGACAATTCCTCTGTGCTCAATGTGGCCCAGGGAAGCCAAAAGGTTGGACACCCATGTTTTAAGTTATTTAAATATGCATAGGGATTTGGGATAGTGCACAATTAACCCTATGTTTTTAATTGTATGTATTGGGGCTATTATGTACTATTGCATTGCTGCCGCCCAGGACTAGTGGGAGTTTGAGTGTAGGACTTAATTTTGCATAGAAGTATTAAAATGTGGTGTTTTATTAGTCAGTTCCTGGACAGTTTTTGTGTTTCTGTGATTCATCCTCCTGTGACTTTTTTACCGCACAGATTCATCAGGAAAGCCCTGGAACCCTCAGCCAAAGTACTAGTCATTTGCAACTGTTACGATAAACGTGTTAACAGTACCAAGACTGCAGGTACAGTCTATAAACACCAGAACCACTACAAAAGCTGTAGTGGTTTTGGTGAATATCATGCCCCTTTAAGTGGGCTGTGAGAGCATTAGAGAAGTCAGCAGACACTCTAAGCCTATCACAGTCACCAATAGCAGCTTGGGTAATTGTGAAACAGCTTGAGCAGTAGAGAGGGTCAGCGGATACCAACGGTCCTTTGACAGCATTAACCTGTTCTAAAACCGTTTAACACTGACACATGTGCCTGCACCAGGAATATCAGTGTACCATAACCACTTTAGGTAAGTGGTTATCGTACACAGACCTTTTCTCTTAAAATTTTGTCATATTATTGTTTTGTTAAATTCACTAACTAAATTATGCAGGATTTAGTAGGATCTTTGTTCTGAGCCTATTGATTACAGTTTGTACCTAAAATGGATTTTATAACCATAACAAATGTTGTAGATAAAAATAAATCTGACTAGATAGTTTTTTTTTTTTATTATTACAAATGTACTTAAAATACCAAAATGGTCAATTCAAAAAAAGTACAAATCATTAAATAAAAATTGATCTTATATTTGTGTTTTTTCATTTAATGCCAAGTACTTAATAAAAGGTTGCTATCAAAAATCAGTAAACATATTTGAAATAACAATTACACTTTCCATAAAGATGTGAAAGTAATTTGTTCCCTGACAATATTCACAAAATTTAGAATACATTTTTTGTATGCGATACAAACTATTTTTTAGAATGAAATCTTTACAAATATGATTATATAAATATACATGAAAGCATGTGCTCTACTGGTGTGCCATTCTTTCAGTTGAAAGGGCACAATATACATCAACTCCAAAGCTGTTTTACTGCAAATTGGAAGCACTTTAAAATGATTCTCTGTAAAACCTTTTTCAGATTAAAAAATAAAAATAAATCTTTTCGACTATCCAAGCTAATATGTTTCTACAAAACCGTAGGCATTATGCTTCCTTCTACATAGTCAACATAAGGCAATATTGCATTTTATGCTAATCAATTACTGTCATATTTGAATGAAACAATACATATAGATATCTAGCTTCCGATATTCAATATTCCATATATTTGCTATGAAAATCTCGTGCAGGGGTCTCTGTACTGGCCTACGGCCACCAAATATTTTACAGAGTAGAGGCGTGCACACATGCATCTGGGAGTATGGATCTGTATCTCCCATGGAAACAAAAATGACATGGCCGGTGGCTAAACTGACTTTGAGATCTCTGACCTTGATCATCGCTAAGAAGGATATCTAATCTTACAGCCCTTTTCATTATCTACCTAATATTTTCTAAACTTAGGTACATAAAATAATACATTTTCAAAACAAACACGCAATCTTATAACGTATACTCTTATAAGTAAGTTTTCATAATGTAACTTATATGCTGTAAATACAGGCTTGTCAAACTGAAAAAGCTCAAACTTACAATATACAAATATATATTTAGAGGTAGACTACAACAAAATGATAGAATGCATTGATTTATACAGTAATTAGAGAAAAGCTTTTAGGTCAAGTCAAAAAAGAGGGCTCGTTATAATGGCATTAGCACGTATAGTAAGAATTTATAATATGCTCAATAATTTGTAAACATTTGATGTTCTCTTCAAATACATTTCCTGAAAACAATGAAAGAATCAATTATTAAAAAGCCTGAAAAAACCTGATGAATTTGCACAATGAAGTGTGTTACTTCATATTTCGATTACCCAATAGTTTTGATTAGGATTAAGTTCATGGCCACCTATTCCTCGAATATTTCTTGAATCACTCAAAGTGGGAGCCCTGTCAAATTTATGCATAACCATTTAGTGCTTCTCTTTAGTAGAAACCCATTGTGCTTTCATCTTTTTCTCTAGGCATACACAAACCCTTTAAGTGCTTTGTTAGCAACATACAGGAATAATAACTGCTCAGCTATATTTAGGTCCCAAATACTTGATTCAAGGAACTATAAAATATACATTGTTTCCAGTTTTTTTCTATGATGCACAGTATCCCCCCACACCCTCAAATCTGAGTACCAGTACAAAGAAAGAGGTAACATATTGCACTGCATGAGATAAATCTACAGAGCACACCACAGCCTCACTTGAAGGTTCCTGGATCCCCATTTTGAACATCAGTAACATGACCCCTATTGGATAAAGCCAACTGAAGCTACATAAAAGGGGCGCTATAGTCACCCGTACCACTATAGCTTGCTTAAGTGGTTCTGGTGTCGATAGCATGTTCCAGCAGTCTTAGCACTGTCAACACTGCCTATTCAGAGAAAATGAAGTGTTTACATTGCTGCCTAGTAATATATCTAGTGGTAGTCACTCAGACGGCCACTAGAGGTGCTACCCAGAGCTGCAAAATGTGCAGCACTTATTTTCAGTGTCTCCGCATGGTAGCGCTGAATGTTCCCCATAGAGATGTACTGATTCAATGATGATCTCAGCCATGGAGGCGGGGCCTGTCATGGCAAGATTGGCGGTGGTGGAGAAAAGGCAAGTTTAAAAAAAGTCTCATCTCCACAGAGACAGGCGTCGGAAAGCTGTTAGTGATACAGGTTTCTATTCCTGACACTATAAATGTTCTTTTGAGTTATATTTATAATTACTGACAAAAGCACACTGATTATGTAATTTTTTGCCACGTGTTTTCAAGATAACATTTCAAATCAGTACAGATATAGATTTTGAACAGCTTTCTTCTGCATATCGCTTGTCTTACGTGAACATTTAACAGTTTGTGTCTCTTTCAAGTTTTTAAGTGGAGCACATGAAAAACTAGGGAGTGCTAGATGGTCTTCCCACTGGGAGTCAGGAAAACTGTTTTATTATTTTGTAAACTTGTTTCTACAAAACAATTGTGTGGCAGGGATATACACCCGTGCTCAACTCTAAACAGCACAGCATCTCTATAACACGTTGACATCAGTCACCCAAAACATTGCAGAGGTTTTTGTAATTTATACTTGCCTTTGGTGCACCACCACTTTGGGTACCACCATAAACACATCAATAATTCACACCATGCTAAAATCTTTCAATTGTTTAACTTAAACAGTCTTTTCAAAAGCCAGAGTTCCAATACATAGAAGACCACTTTCTTGTTGGATGGATTAGAAAGTAGTAATCTATTCAGCAAATGCACACATTAAAGGGACACTGTAGGCACCCAGACCACTTCAGCTAATTGAAGTGGTCTGGGTGCTGTGACCCTTTCGCACTCGGTGCCAGAGAACTGCAATGTATACATTGCGACTCCAAATCTGGAATGCATAAACACCTTCTTCAATTGTGTAAAAAAATTGTGTTAACAGTGAATAGCTGGTAATATTATATATGCTATAATAAATGAAGTGCAAATGGAGTGCTAGTTACGTTTTTGTACATGTAACTATTTGGGCTGCAACTAAGGCACAAGGAGAAAAATACTGTTTTTGTTTTTGATATATCAATACTGACACATACTGACTCAAATACTTTAGTTAGAAGAGGGGTACAACTGAGCAGTGGATTTTGTCACTGAAGTTTCTAACGTGCTTTTCCAAACATATGGAGCATCCCTGCAAAGTAAGCACCAACTGGACTCAAGTTTTTAAAAAAAACAAGATTATTTAGAAGTTGACTTCATTGAATAAAAGTATTAAAATAATTAAAACTTTAAAGGGTCACAGCTCACTGTGGAGGTGCTGTGAATCTATGGGCACAGATTGACAAAAACAGTTTTTTCCTAGCAATTACACCCTATTGGAAGGAAACTTCTGTATCGTAAGTGCAAAGACACCCAAGCAAGAATGTGCTAATTGACTTCAAAGTGGATAGTCTAGCCAGTTTGACGAAAAAACAGGGCTATTCCTGGCACCCACACAATGACTCTGCTTACTAACTACCTTAGTGCTATTATTGCTTTTCAATATAGATGGATTCACATTGAGATAGGACTCAAAGACTCATAACCACTACAATAACCAGTATAATTAAAAAAAATTCCCACTTCTGACGGGAATAAAGCTTATTTAGTGGTTATGATAATAGTAGCTTGAGAGTCCATTTAATGCATTGGGTAAGTTTATAAGCTACATTTTGTGCAAACATATAGTATACAATATAAATCCTGGAAAAACCGATGGAGAAAGAGCATTATTAATAATAAAACATTTACATGTACTGCTTAAATTAAAAGTGATCAACTGCTAGATGGAACAAAAAATAAAATAAGAAAACTGATTGTCGTAAACTACAACAGAAAACAAAGAACAGTTAATAAAATGTGCAATTTAAAGTTGATATATAGTCTGATGAATACATCTCCTTCCCACCCGCAACAAAATATAAATAGGGCAGATGTTACACTCAAAAAACATAATCCTTGGTCATTTTGAGTGAAGGCATGGCTTCATTTACATTCTGATCCAAGCGACGATAACCAGCATTTTTGGAGCATAGACCATCACGCCACCTTTTTTTCTGAATAAGGAGGAAAATCTACAAGAGAGGAATAAGACATATGTATATATTTATAATGGCAAGAAAAGATAGGCATTACTCCCCATTTCAATGAAAGATACAGATTAAAAATCAAAAAAAAAAAAAAATACAGCTTCCTGGAAGGATATGATAGCAGCTCACACGTCAGCTAATCCTAGACTTTCTATTGTCTTAAGAACGATACATTATAAAATGAGAATGCAACTGTTGCACGGTGACTGCAGTCAACTTACAGATAGATGTATTCATGCCTTTATGAACAGAGCTGCAGAAGAAGTGGAGTTGTGCATACTTGTTAAACTGGTAGAGAGAAAGCTTAAATGAGCACTAAACACCATAACCACTACAGCTCGCTGTCACTAATAAGCCAATGAATGTCAATAAAAGTTAATAAAAAAGACAAATTTCCACTTCAGCAAGATCTGAAGAGGAGCCAGACAGTCTTTGCCATGATAAGCGTCAATTCGTTCGAAAATGATTTTACATTGGGGCAGTGTTAGGGAACTCTTTTCACAATAATCACTATAGCGGAGTGTAGTGGTTTCTGGGTATAAAATGCCCTTTAGGCCTTCCTTTACTTAAATTTGAGTTATGTGGTTGACTGCAGAATATTTTTTTATTATACTTCTATATACTTAAAGTAAACCACAGTGAGAAAAAAAAAAAAAATAGCGATATTTGAAGGGACACTATAGTCACCAGAACAACTACAGTGTAATGTAGTTGTTCTGGTGAGTATAGTTAGTACAAGATGTAAACACTGTCTTTTCAGAGAAAAGCAGTGTTTAGATTACAGCCTAGGGACACCTCAAGTGGCCACTCATTGGATGGCTGCTAGAAGTGTTTCCTGGAGCAGTGCTGCACAGTGAGAAGCACTGACATTCAGTGTCTTCACCCTCTGCATGGAGGCACTGAACTTTCCTAA